AAAGAATTTATTCAGCAAGCCAGTTAAGAAATTCTTGTATTTAATCCAATCTTGAAAGCTAACCTTCTACTTTAACATCTTGCCTGTTAATTCAAACTTCTGAGAGCCCTGTAATGTCTTCCACAAAACTGCCTTGGGGGCCGGGCGGTGGTGGAGCAGGCCTTTAGTCCCAGCACTCGGAAGGCAGAGGCAGGCAGATCTCTGTGAGTTGGAGGCCGGGCGGGTCCGACAGCTTCCAAAACAATAGAGAAACCCTGTCTTGTAAAAACCAAACCAAGCCGGGCGGTGGTGGCACACACCTTTAATCCCAGCACTCGGGAGGCAGAGGCAGGCGGATCTCTGCGAGTTCGAGGCCAGCCTGGTCTACAAAGTGAGTTCCAGGACAGCCTCCAAAGCTACAGAGAAACTGTCTTGAAAAACCAAAAAACAAAAACCAAACCAAAAAAAAACTGCTTTGGGTGTCTCGGTGTCATGGAGTATGCCTTTAATCTGGGAGGCAAAGGCAGGAGGATCTATTTGAATTCAAGGCCAACCTGGTCTACAGAGCAAGTACCAGGGCAGGTTCTAAAGCTACAGAGAAACCCTGTCATGTAAACCACACAAACAAGTATGTGGCCTTCTTGACAAGAGAAACCTAATAATTTATCTTGGTTCAATTCGAGGGTATGGTCCAGCAAGGCAAGGGAGATACAGTGCTAAGTGCAGCTCCAGCTGGCCATGGTGACCTGCAGTCAGGAAGCACTGGTGCGCCCGTGCTCAGAGGGCTTCTTTCACACTACAGCTGGCCCAGACCAACTTTTGATCAAGACAGAGATGTAAAAGGGAGAATTCGGGGCTGGCAAGCAGTAAAGGTACTTGCCAGCAAACCTTTCTATTTCTTCCTTGGCCTGACTTTCACGTGCCCACATATGACAAATAGAAAAAAGGGTCTGTGAGAACTGGGGGAGACATTTCAGAGGTCACTTCAGAAAAGCTGAAAAATCTTATTTCCCACTCCAGATCTTTTAAAATCCATTTTTGCAATTTCACATGCATTGGTAGTTTGTCATGGCTGTTGGGTTCGCTGGTACTGGAATCACAGTTGTGAGCTGCCATGTGGGTGCTGGGAACTGAGCCTGGTTCTGCAAGCAGTCAGTGCTCTTAACCCACCAAGATGTCTCTAACCCCTCCCACTTTAGATTTAAGCCGCAGGAAAATGTTTCTAGAAACATGGTTTCATGCAGTTCAGAATGGTCTCACTCCCTAGTTCCTCCTGCTTCTATCATCCCCAATGGTAAGATCACAGGCTTCTCATCACCCTTGTTTACAAACTAAAAAATGTAACATTTTTATAAATACTGAAAGTAGTAGTAAAGTGTGACTTCTGATAATAGTCCTATGCGGAGGAGGTTCATGCCTTTAATATCAGCACTAAATCTATTATGTACAAGAAAGATCAAGCTAACAAATTTCCCCACAGGTATAAGCCATTCTTATGCTTGCTAACAAAGGGATTTTCGTCAAGCACTACCTATTCTTGTGACTGTGCTAACCTCATCTTCCCGTTTCTAGATTTACTCGAGTCCAATTACCTACCTAGCTAAACTCCTACTCGTCTAAATGTCTGATTATCCTGTTAGAACTCACCGATTTTAATCACTACTAACCATAAAATAAGACTACCACAGGCTATGAATTTCATCAAGATTAAATGCAAACTGTCAAAAGCAACTTCATGGCCTTGAATTTAGCACCTTTGAAGGAGAGTACAGTCTCATATACTAGAAAGTCCAAGCAACCCTTAGATTAGCAACTCATAACAAGTAAATAGCATTTGAAAAGCATCAGTAGCTCAGGCTGGTCTCCAACTGAGATCTGTCTGCTTTCAAGTGCTGGGAATAAAGGCAAGCACCATCCTGCCTACTTGGCTGTATCCAGAATGAAGAGCTCAATAGCAGGTCAGGAGCAGGGATTACAAATGGCTCCCACCCTTGAGGGTTTCCATTACCAGTTATAAGGATTTTCAAGTCCTTTACAGACTGAAAGCACCTTAAGATACCCTAGCATGGCAGGGATTAAAAGCTCACTTTTTTTTCCAGACAGGGTTTCTCTGTGGCTTTTGGAAGCTGTCCTGGAACTCGCTCTGTAGACCAGGCTAGCCTAGAACACAGAGAACTTCCTGCTTCTGTCTCCTAAGTGCTGGAATTAATAATTTAGGGCGCACACTTAGCTACTTAATACAACTATTCTAGTAACTCCTCTTTAAAGTTTGTCTTCCCTAACAAATCTTCTCACTCATCATTTATCAACCTCCATGCCAAGGGTAACGGAAACAGGCAGGTTCACATCCTTTCCCAAGTGAGAAGTCATTCAGTCCCTACCCCTATACTTCAGTCTCATAGGAACTAACCTTATGTACGAAGACCCAGTTCTTAACATGCCATTAAGAAACTTAGATTCCAAGGCAATCACATAACCAAACACTGAACTGACATTAAATTACCTTAGCACACCACACATCGTTTTCAAAACCAGAACATTTTATTTTTATGACTGACTGAAATCCTCAAGATGAACTGGATGCTGCAACAGCTGCCCTCTTGGGTTTAGGTGTCGTCCCTTCACGGAATCCATGTCTGTCCCATGTTAAAGACAAGAAAAGTTAATGTAGCAACACCAACACATTTCAATTCAGCCAAAATAACCTCAATAAAGCTTATCTCAGTTAAATGTCGAAATCAGTATAGCATTCATATGTTCAGACATTTATTTTTAAAACATCACTGATAAGCTGTTTTTACCCCACTAAAGACACCCACATTAAATCACAACAACTGATTCAAATATACTCAACTCTTTCAGTCAAGGGTATTTATGACCACTATTCTTTATGCTATTCAAGGACAGGCCCCAATCTTAGTAGCAGAAAACAATGACCAATAACAGAACATTTGAAGCTGCTCACCCAGGAGTGAATTCTAACTAACACTCAGACCTACTTTTAGGAACCTCATTTTACAAAGGTAAGTGATCTGAAGCACAGACAGGTTAAGAATGCTTAAAGTAGACTCAGTTAATAAAGCACTAGCAAACTACTACACTACACACCAAGCCCACAAAGTGCAAACACAAATGTTTACAGACTCACACTGCCATGTGACCTTCAAAAGTTGGGTCCTAGTAGACAGCAGTCAGTGCACACCATCCAAACCCCATGGGCAATCCCCACAATGGACCGCCTCAGACTGCTGGAATAGCAGTGATAAGCAGTACAGCTTTGTCTGGCAGCCTTGGTGAAAACCCAGTAGGGTTGTTTAGAAACCAAAAGCGAAGACTAAACCAAGTGAGCTGCCTCCTCGACCCCATTCACAGAACAAGTCCTGGCAGTGTTTGAAAGGTTTAGGCATTACACTGGCCTGCTCTATTACCTGGCAGAACGCACTGAGACCAGCCCAGAGTTCCATGAGAACCAGTCTGCACCAGGTGCAACGGACCCCCTTAAAGGACAGACCCCCGCCCACTTACTCTCCCATGTCTGTCTCCCCCTTTTGGTCTAACTATAATAAACTGTAGTTAACGTGCTCTCCATGGCTTGTGCTCCGTCCATCATGCCGGTCCTTATTCCAAAATTAACAGTGTCACTGCCACTTTTCACCAGCGCGGAAAGCTACAGGACCGGCTCTTATCCCAGCCCAGTCAACGACACCGAAACAAAAACTGTACCTGAATCTTCGATAGACAATTTTTAGGTGCCTCATCCGTCCAGTCCCGGTAGTGTTTCGCCTCTTAGCCTTGGCACTCCAATTATCTAAGAAAACAGGATTCCAAAGGTTTTTCCAAGTGCCCACCGCCAGCCAATCCCCTTAGAAACTACGGTGTTTTTAACACTGACCAACACAGCAACCGCCAAAGTTCTTTACACACCAGCTAACACGTGCCGAGTACAGAGCTATCACACCCCTCCCTCGGCCCGATGCAAAGACAGCCCGGTACTCACACTTTCTCTTGCGCTTGGCAGGGTAGCCACATTTGCCACAGGTGGACTTCTGAAGGTGGTAGGCCTTCGAGCCACAGCGGCGGCACAGCGTGTGCGTTTTGTTGCGACGCTTTCCAAAGGATGACGTTCCTTTCGTCTGCACAGTGAGGGCATTAAGAAGCGGGTTTGAAAGCTGGCCCCTTTCCCATGCACTCTGGCATTTTCACGGAAAACGCCCACCGACGCGACATTTACACGAGGCAAGACGGGGCAGAGCTTTCAGCTCTTCGCACGCGAGCTAAAGGAAGTGGCTGCCGCTAACCCGCACGCTCTAGTGTCCCGCTCCGCACGGACACCAGTACTTTAAGTCGCCGGGAGACCAAAGGTGGCCGCCTCCTAGTCCCAGCTCCGGCGAACAAACACGTCCCCAGCTTTCTCGGCGGCGGGGACAAGTGTCCCCAGAACTGTCCTAAGCGCCTGCCGCGGGGAGACAACAGTGCGTACGTCCCCCCAAGCCCCAGAGACGAACGGCGGCGCTGGGGCCGAAGGCTCGCCCGCCAGCGCTGCCGTTCCTCTGCCTCCTGCCCGCCACCGCACGCCCGCTCCTGGCCCAGCGGCTCCCCACACTCGCAATCCCGTCACCCACGCGCCGACGGCGGGCAGGGCAGCTCGGGGAAGAAGGATGGAAAGAGATTTACAGAGCCCAGGGACCACACTCACCATCTTGCTTCTGCCGCCGAGGCCAAAGAGACCGGAAGAGAAAGCGCTTCCCCTACTTCCTGCGGATAAGCTTCCGCCCGGCGAACTGCTTCCGGCGGGCGAGGTGCAGGGCCGTCAAGCCTCCGGCGCCGTGGTGTGGGCGGGACCGGGAGAGTGAGGCAGCCAATCGCGCTCCTGCGCCCGGAGGGGGTGTGGCTAGCGCGTCCGACTCCACCTTCTGGAGCGCCAGCGGCTCCTCTAGGCAGGCGGAGTTGTCGCTGGTCGCTGCGGCGGTGGCAGATTTTCTGCGCCTGTGTCTTGCTTGACCCTTCGACGTTTGCGGTCCAGGCTGGGCCCGCGGCGTGCGTTCCCGGCGTGGGGATCGAGGAGAGTCGGACATTCGGCGTGACAACGCCCCTGGCCGTGTGTGCCGTGAGCGGCTGGCACTGGGATCCCGATGCGGGAAAGGCCAGCTTCCCAGGTTCGTCGTCACTGGGACGCTCGGCAGCCCCCAGCCCCCGCAAGGGTAGGAGCTTAGCTCTAACTCAGGCAAACGTCCGGCAGTAGCGAATTGTTTGATCCCGTACACGAAATCGCACGTAGAACTTGTTAAATGTAAATAGCAGTTTGCTGCGCGCTGCCACCAGGAAATCTGAGCCTTCAGACTTGAGTACAGCTTGGAAGTCTGTGCTGTAAAAGTGTTCTCTAGACCGTTTAGAAATTAGTAACTCCAGACTTGCTTGATAAACGCTAATGCATCTTGCCCGCAACCTCTTCCAGTACAAAACGTGAGGAATGTATACAGACGTTTATGGATAGGGGAAATAATCTCGGCCATATCATCTATGTACTTTCACTTTCTAAAATACGGGAATTACTAGTCTATCACATGCAAAGTGAACACTAAGGAATTGGAAGGGTTTTTGTTTTTTCTTTTTCATGTTAGCAAATAGTATTTAAGTACTCGTTTCTTCTAGAGGGAGGGAGTAGAAATGAAAATACATATTCCTTTCCACTCCGAAGTAAAAGACTGAAAGTGGAGGAGTTTCAGGGAGAATTCAGAGAAAGAAAACAAACGTTTAAGTGGTTGAACGAACTATAAGTCTCAGGAGACTGTATGACAAATTGCTGCAAATGTAGTGGCATGAAGCACCATAGATTTAATTTCAGTTATGGGAAATCAAATTCTAGAGGTCCATTTGTAGTAGCATTGAACATACAAAGTTGTGATGCACACTTAGAAATCTTTTTTTTTTTTTTTCTCTTTTTCTTCTTGGTCTTTCAGGACAGGGTTTTTCTGTGTAACAGCCCTAGCTGTCCTGGAAGTCACTCTGTAGACCAGGCTGGCCTTGAACTCACTGAAATTCACCTGCCCCTGCCTCCTGAGTGCTGGGATTAAAGGCATGCACCACTGTCGCCCAGTTTAAAAATCTTTTTTTTTTTTTTTTTTTTTTTTTTGGTCTTACGAGACAGGGTTTCTCTGTTTTGGAGGCTGTCGGTCCAGCCTGGCCTCGAACTCACAGAGATCCGCCTGCCTCTGCCTCCCCAGTGCTGGGATTAAAGGCGTGCACCACCAACGCCCGGCTAAAAATCTCTTAAGGAAGTTAGTTCCAGGACAGGCTCCAAAGCCACAGAGAAACCCTGTCTGGAAAAACAAAGCAAAACAAAACAACAAAAAGAATCTTTTTTTTTTCCCCCGAGATAGGGTTTCTCTGTATTTATTGTTTTGGAGGCTGTCCTCGAACTCACAGAGATCCGCCTGCCTCTGCCTCCCAAGTGCTGGGATTAAAGGCGTGCGCCATCAATGCCCGGCACAAAAAAGAATCTTTTAAGTAGATGAATCTCATGAGTGTTCTTAGCATAATTTTAAAAACATTTGCTTTGGAGCTATGGGGTTAAAGGAGTGTGCCCCCATACCCAGCTTTTGGCCGCTATAGAGACCACGTTAATCCTAAATCCTGAATTTAAGACCCTATAAGAAAATTTGGGCCGGGCGTTGGTGGCGCACGCCTTTAATCCCAGCACTCGGGAGGCAGAGGCTGGCGGATCTCTGTGAGTTCGAAACCAGCCTGGACTACCAAGCAAGTTGCAGGACAGCCTCCAAAGCCACAGAGAAACCCTGTCTCGAAAAACCAAAAAAAAAAAGAAAAAAGAAAAAAGAAAAAAAAAGAAAGTTTGACCCCACCAACAATTGACAGTAGATTAGTTTTTTCCCCCTTTTTCTTTCTTTCTTTCTTTCTTTTTTTTTTTTTTTTTGGTTTTTTTTCAAGACAGGGTTTCTCTGTATCGATTTGGAGGCTGTCCTGGAACTCGCTCGGTAGACCAGGCTGGCCTCGAACTCACAGAGATCCGCCTGCCTCTGCCTCCCGAGTGCAGGGATTAAAGGCGGGCGCCACCAACGCCCGACACATGAAATACATTTTTATTGAAAAATGTTTTATGTAGTATTTGATCATGTTTTTTCCTTCCCCCAACTCCCCTCATATTCTCCTCAACTCCCTAACTATCCAACTTTATATATTTTTTCTGTTTATTTAGAAAAAAATCAAGGGCTGGAGAGATGGTTCAGAGGTTAAGAGGTCTGGCTGTTCTTCTAGAGGACCTGAGTTCAATTCCCAGCAGCCGCGTGGTGGCTCACAGCCATCTATAACGAGATCTGGTGCCCTCTACTGGCATGCAGGTGTACATGCAGGCTGAACACTGTATACATAAGAAATGAATCTTTAAGAAAACCAAAAACCCTGAACAGCCTCCAAAGCCACGGAGAAACAAAGCAAACAAACAAACAAATAAAAAAAAAAAAACCCTAACCTCCCCACACACTTTTCCAGGGGAGGCAGAGGGCAGAGGCGGGTGGTCTCCAGAGAGCATTCCAGGACAGCTTCCAAAGCAACAGAGAAACCCTGTCTTGAAAACAAACAAACAAACAAATAAATAAAAAATTAAAAACCATCGAACATAAACCAAAAATAAATTATTTTAAAAAGCAAACAAACAAAAAAACAAGAAACGCAACCCCTACCTCAATACCCACCCACACACAAAAAAAAAAACGTGCCACGTCTTGGGCATGGGACCCGCCCTGGAGTGTCAATGTACCCTGTGTCACTCCATTGGTAAGAACTGATTTCCCTAGGCTGGCAGTTACTGAGTGCCGGATGCCTTGTGGTTAGGAGTGGAGGAGTGGGACCCCATGTCCACTTGCTAGGACCCCACCTGGCTTGAATGTGTGCAAGTCTTGCATGCTGTCTCCGTCTCTGAGTTCACACGTGCACCAGTCCTGTTGTGTCTGGAAGACAGTCCCCTTGGAGTCTCCCATCACTCCCAGTACATGCAGTCTTCCAGTCTCCTCTTCCAGATAGATCCCTGAGCCTTGATCCAAGGGGCTTGATGAAGACATCCCATTTGGGACGGTGTCCTCCAAAGTCTCTCATTCTCTGCACATTGCCCAGCTGTCTCTGTTAGCTCCCATCTACTGCAAGAGGAAGCTCCTCTGATGTGGCTCGAGAGAGACCCCGGTCTGTGGCTGTAGCAAAATGTCATTAGGAGTCATTTTATTGCCATGCTCCTTTAGCAGTATGACATTAGTAGATTTTCCCCTCAACCCGTCACATATCTAGTTCCAGGTTCTTGGCCACCCAGATATTGTCAGATACTGGTCCCATCTCATGGAGTGGGCCTTAAATCCAATCATAAAGTTTGCTATTCCTATAACGTTTATGCCACTGTTATACCTATATGTCTTTCAGGCTAGTCACTGTTGTAGGTCACAGGCTGTGTAGCTGGGTAATGACTGCCTTTCTCTGATCGTGTACACAGCAGTTCCACTACCGTAAATACTAGCTAGGGGTGAAGCTCCTGGTTGGGCACCAGCTTGATTTCTCTATATTTGATGACATAAGTAATTTGGGAGGCAGAGGCAGGTGGATCTCTGTGAGTTCGAAGCCATCCTAGTATACATAATGAGTTTCTGGACAGCCAGGGCTGCATTAGAGAGACCCTGTCTCAAAAAATTAATTTAAATTAAAAATTATTTTATGTGTAGGAGTGTTTTGCCTCCATGTATGGATGTACACCACATTCATGCCTGGTACCCGCAGAGTGCAGAGGAATGCATTGGATTTCCTGGAGCTGGAGTTATGGTTGGTTGTAAGCCACTATGTGGGTACTGGGAATCAAACCCAAGTCCTCTGTAGGAGCAGTAAGTACTCTTAACTTTTGAGCCATCTCTCTAGCCCTAAAATATATTAGTGTTTAATGTACAAAATATAACCCATTCATAATCTTATCCTCAGAAGTAGCCAGTATTAAAATTTGGAGTATTTATTGATTATTTATTTATTTTTGGTTTTTTGAGACAGGGTTTCTCTTTATTGCTTTAGAGGTTGTCCTGGAGCTCACTCTCTACACCAGGCTGACCTCGAACTCACAGAGATCCACCTGCCTCTGCTCCCAAGAGCTGGGATTAAAGGTGTGCACCACCAATGCCTGGCTTATTGGTTATTTTATAGAAAATATTTGCTATATATGTGTTTATGTGCATGTATATTTATATGAATACATACTTTTTTTCCTGACACAGAATCTCACTGTACCATCCTGGCTAGCCTGGTACTTGGTGTGTAGACCAGACCGGCCTTAGACGCACAGTGATCCCTCTGCCTCTGCCTCTGCCTCCCTAGTGTTGAGGTTAGAGGCATGTGTCACCATACCTAGCTTACATACTAGTTTTTTTTTGTCTGCTTATTTTTGAGGCAGGGTCACACTATATAACTTCAAATAGCCTGGAGCTCTCTATGTAGACCAGGTTGGCCTTGAATGCACAGAAGTCTACCTGTCTCTGTCTCCCAGCACTGGGATTGAAGGTACACACTACCATGTCCAGCTTGGTTTTATTTTCTATGGGATTTATAACTTGCTATTTTCCAAAATATTATAAGGTGGGTATCATCATATTATTAAGTTCTACTTTATCCTTCTTTACAGTCTAGTAGGATGCTGGAGAGACTGCGTAGCAGTTAAGAACACTGGCTACCCTTTCAGGGAACCAGGATTGAATCAGGATTCAATTCCCAGCACACACATGACATCTCATAAATAAATCAAATCTTAACAGTTCAATAGTTCTTTGGTGGGCTGGGTGTGGTGGGCACACTCTTTTAATCCCAGCACTTGGGAGGCAGAGACAGGCAGATCTCTGTGAGTTCAAGGTCAGCCTGGTCTACAGAATGAGTTCTAGGATAGCTAAGGCTGTTACATAGAGAAACCTTGCCTCAAAAACAGAAAAAACAAACCCATATTATATATATATATATATATGTATATATATATATACACACACATATATATTTGGTATTTACTATTATCATTTATTTCACAGAGCCCTGATTTATGGAAATTTAGGTTATTTTCGATTTTCTGCTATTATTACACTTTTAGAATTTTTATATGTACATTTTGGCATGTATCTAATATATTTTTTTAAGATTTATTTATTTATTATGAATATAACATACTGCCTCCATGTATGTCTGCACATACCAGAAGAGGGTGCCAGATCTCATTACGGCTGGCTGTGAGCCACCATGTGGTTGCTGGGAATTGAACTCAGGCCCTCTGGAAGAGCAGTCAGTTCTCTTAACCTCCGAGCCATCTCTCCAGCCCCCTAATATATATTTTAAATTTATTTTGTTGTATGTGTGAGTTTTTTGCTTGTATGTATATTTGTGTACCACATGCATGCCTTTAGCACTAGATTTATGGATGGCTTTGAACCACCACCTTGTGAATGTGGGAACCGAACCCTGGCCAGATCTTCTGTAAGAGTAGCTAGTGTTCTTACTGCTAAGCCACCTCTCCAGCCCCTGAATTTCCAAGGTGGGATTGCTGGATTGAAAGTTACACATTTTAAATCAATCGTTACCTAACTCTTATCATTTACCTGCATATTGAAGAATACTCTCTACAAATCAACCAATTCATTTACATTTATAGCATCATACTACAGTGCCCAGGGCAGGAATACCTAGCCCAACTTGAAGTTCAAGGGGAACTTCCTAGGGGAATTTCTCAGCCTTACTTCATCTCTTGTTTTACTGAGAGAGGGTCTCTGTGTGGTCCTGGATGGCCTAGAACACAGTGTAGACTAGGCTATCCCTGAAATTGCAACAGTCCCGATTCTCCTGTCTCTGCCTTCTGAATGATAGGATTGTGATGTGTGTGCTACCATTTGTGCCCAGTATTAATGAAACTCAGTCTTGTAATCAAAGACCAGAGAGAGTTAGGGGTGTCCATGAGTAGCAGAACATCATGAGACCTTCTGTTCTGTACTCAGCAAACACACACACACACACACACACACACACACACGCACACACACACACAGAGCAGATAAAGCGAAGTCAAGTACAACAGGAAATCAGTCACAGGGTGTTCCGGATTGATTCCCCTCTGGCCTCTCCAACAATAGGTATTCTTGTCGTATTTTATCTTTGCTAAGTGGAATTCCCATCTTTCTTTTTTTCTTTTTAGCTTACATTTCTTTACTTGCCAGAATGATTTAATCCATTTCCTGGTTTTTAGGAAGCAATGGCTACCGAGAGTGCTTCCTCAGAAATCATAGAAAGACAAAGAACCAAGTTGCTTAATGTCCTCCAGCAAGACCCCGATTCGCTCTTGGACACTTTAACCTCTCGGAGCCTGATTTCTGAGGACGAGTATGAGATGCTAGAGGAAATTACAGATCCCCTGAGGAAAAGCAGGAAGCTGTTAATTGTGGTACAGAAGAAGGGAGAGGAGAGCTGCCGTTGCTTCCTGAAGTGTTTGTCTAACGCATTTCCAGAGGCAGCTGCCACATTGGGCTTGAAGCACGGTGAGTCGATTTTCCTTTCTTTTCTTTTTAATTTTAAAGGAAGGGGAGGAAGCAGATTTTCCAGAAAAGAAAGGAAGAATTGTTGCCTGTTGTTTGGATTGGACTTCCTAAGGAGATTCTTAGTGAAATGTGAAACAGAAAGTATGGCTTTTAAAGCAGGAACGATGGATCCCGGTGATTTGGGAGACTGGTAAGTGCCGGTCAGACAGTTCCCGTTGTTTTCCTGACACCATCAGGTGCTCACCGGTCCTGCTGGGACTCTCTGTTAGTAAGGGCTCTATCTAGAACTTTCTGAGCAGTGCCTTTGGATAGCCACTGGGGGGCATTTTATTAAACCAGCCGGGGGATCAGTAACTTCCTGTCTCTGTGATAAAAATGCCAGCAGAATAGTAGTTTCTATAAGTGCAATTTCTCCATCTTATTAACAAAAGTTTTAAGTCTTGAAATTGGTACTCTATAAAATATGGTTGTTTTCTTTCTTTAAAAAAAAATCACTTTGGCCGGGCATTGGTGGCGCACGCCTTTAATCCCAGCATTCGGGAGGCAGAGGCAGGCCGATCTCTGTGAGTTCGAGGCCAGCCTGGTCTACAAGAGCTAGTTCCAGGACAGCCTCCAAAACAATACAGAGAAATCCTGTCTCGAAACCCCCCCCCCCAAAATCACTTTATTCTCATTAACTCACAAATAAAGCACAGCTAGTTTAAGGAAGCCATTCAAAAAGTTGTTCAATCCCAAACTTCTGTGTCACAGTGAACTTCTCACAGTGAGAACAACTGTTCTGAAGCCATGGGGTTCACTTAGGGTTTTATTCTCCCTCCCTGCCTCCCTCCCTCCTTCCCTCCCTGCCTCCCTCCCTGCCCGGTGTCTATTCTGTGTCCATTACCATCCCCCTGTCCTTCCCCGTGTCTGTACTCTTGTGTACTCTAGTCCTCTAGTCCGCTCAGGCCCTGTGTCTGTCCCAGTCACCATGTCCATCCCTGTGTCCATCCCTGTCCCTCTCCCCATCCCTTCCCAGTATCCATACCCATCCCGTTTTCCTTCCCCTTCTCAGTGTCCAGAGTCAGTCGCTATCACCATGTCTGTTCCCATCCTGTCCTGGTCCCGTGTCTGCTCTGTCCATGTATCCGTCCCTTCCCAGTGTCAGCCCCAGTGTCTGTCCTTGTCCCCGTGTCTGCCCCGTCCCTGTGTCCGCCATGTCTGCTAGTCGTCCCTGTCACTGAGTCCCAGTGGCCGCGCCCAAGTCCTCTGTGTCCGCCCATGTCTGTCCCTGTCTGCGTCCCCGTGTCCACCCAGGGCCCGTCCCCATGTCATTCCCCTAGCCCCTTCCCCCTCCCTGTGGCCATGTCCCGTGTCCATCCCTGTTGCCTGGCATCCCGGTCCCAGTGTCCTTCCCGTCCCCGAGTCCTTCCCAGTCCTCATGTAGCCCCTCCCCCCTCTCCAGGTGTCAGTCCTTACCAGACTGCAGGTCAGTCCCTGTCCCAGTCCCTGAGTCCCCCTCCCCACAGCCCTGTGTCCTTCCATTCCCTAGGAGTCCAACCCCGACACTCCTTTCTGTGTCTCTGTCTCTGTCTCTCTTTCCTTGGTAACAGGGTTTCTCTTTGTAGCCCTGATTTTCCTGGAACTCACTCTGTAGACCAGGTTGGCTTTGAACTCACAGAGATCCACCTGCCTCTGCCTCTTTAGTGCTGGGATTAAAGGTGTATACCACCGAGCTATTCTTCCGCTTTGGAATGCATTTTATTCATGCATCCACATAAACAGAGAAAAAAGAAGCTATGATGGAGTTCAAACTAGGGGGGAAAGTAGGGTTTTTTTATGTAGTATATTTTAACCATTTCCCCCTATCCCAGTCCCTCCCAGAAAAAAATATTGTATGAAATTTTTTTTCAATAAAAAGTAACTTTAAACCTTCTTTCATGACCCATGTCCTTTTGCCGGCAGTCTGTCCTTAGTCATCTAATGCTATCTTCTGTTGGTTTCCTTTTTTTTTTTAAGCTTAAGCTGTTATTTATTTTTTTGTTTATTTATTATGTATACAGTGTTCTGCCTACATGTATGCCTGCAGGCCAGAAGAAGGCACCAGGTTTCATTACAGATGGTTGTGAGCCACCATGTGGTTGCTGGGAATTGAACTCAGGACCTTTGGAAGAGCCGTCAGTGCTCTTAACCTCTGAGCCCCTGTTGGTTTCCTTCTTAAATTTTATACTAAACCCACACTCATACTTGCTCATATATATACATAGGTACATTTTAAACTATGATCTATATATAAGGGAGAACATGAAAATTAAGAACAGAATTGTCATATGACCCTCTGTTCTCTTCCTGGGGTGTATACCAGAGAGCCCCATATCATATCACATAGATATTTGCAGCCAGGCAGTGGTGACGCACGCCTTTAATCCCAGCACTCGGGAGGCAGAGGCAGGTGGATCTCTGTGAGTTTGAGGTTGGGCTGGACCGACAGCCTCGAAAGCAATACAAAGAAACCCTGTCTCGTAAAAACCAAAAAAAAAAAGGGCCGGGCGTTGGTGGCACACACCTTTAATCCCAGCACTTGGGAGGCAGAGGCAGGCGGATTCTGTGAGTTCGAGACCAAGTCTGGTCTACAGAGCTAGTTCCAGGACAGGCTCCAAAGCCACAGAGAAACCCAAAAAAGAAAGGTGGCTAGAGCCAGAAATGATCATCTTACACGAAATCAAATCCAAAAGACAAACATCACATAATCAAAGTATGATCTGTGCGTGTGTGTGTGTGTGTGTGTGTGTGTGTGTGTGTGAGAATATGCCACTATTTTTTTTTTTTTCGAGACAGGGTTTCTCTGTATTGTTTTGGAAGCTGTCCTGGACTAGCTCTTGTAGACCAGGCTGGCCTCGAACTCACAGAGATCCACCTGCCTCTGCCTCCCAAGTGCTGGGATTAAAAGCGTGAGCCCGACGAGAAACCGCATTTTGAAAAACAAACAAACAAACAAACAAACACAAAACAAGAGATAGTTTTTCGAGACAGGGTTTCTCTGTGGCTTTGGAGGCTGTCCTGGAACTAGCTCTTGTAGACCAGGCTGGCCTCGAACTCACAGAGATCCGCCTGCCTCTGCCTCCCGAGTGCTGGGATTAAAGGCGTGTGCCACCAATGCCCGGCTTTATTATTTATTTTTAAGTTTAAATTTAGATTAGAAACAAAGTTGCTTCACAAGTCAGTTCCAGGTTCCTCTCCGTTTCTCTCCCCTCCTCCCGTGCCCTACTGCAACCCCCCCCCCATATCCCCTCATTTCCCCAGGGAGGGTGAGGCCCTCCATGGGGCTGTCCACAGTCTGTCATTTCATCCAGGGCAGGGCCCAGACCCTTCCCCAAGAGTTCAGGGTGAGAGTGCACCTCACATTGTTGGATGGGAGTCCAAAGTCCATGTGTATACTCGGGATGAATACTGATCTGCTGCCCAAGGCTCAATAGATTACCTAGGCCTCCTCACTGATACCCACATTTAGGGGGTCTTGATCACTCCCATGCTGGATTCCCAGGCATCAGGCTGGGATTCAAGAGTTGACCCTTGTCAGGTCAGCTGTTTCTGGGGGTTAAACCAGCTTAGTCTTAACCCGGTTGGTCATCAGTCCTCCCTCTCTGTTACTGGCTTTCTTGAGTTCAGCTCAGTGCTTAGTCATGGGAGTCTGCCTCTGCTTCCATCAGCCACTGAATGAAGTTTCTGTTTCCCAGACTCTCTGGCCATGGGATTGTAGACTGGCACTCCCCAGATCTATGTCTAAAATCCATATATGAGAGAGTACATGCCATGTTTGTCTTTTTGTGACTGGGTTAGCTCACTCAGGATGGTTTCTTCTAGGGCCATCCATTTGCCTGCAAATTTCAGGATTCCATTGTTTTTTTTTTTCTGCTGAATAGTACTCCATTTGTAAATGTGCCACATTTTCTCTATCCACTCTTCGGTTGAGGGGCATCTAGGTTGCTTCCAAGTTCTGGCTATTACAAATAATGCTGCTATGAACATAGAGGAACAGATGTCCTTGTGGTATGAATGTGAATTTTGTTTTTTGATTTTTTTGGTTTTCCGAGACAAGGTTTCTCTGTATTGTTTTGGAGGCTGTCCTGGAACTTGCTCTGTAGACCAGGCTAGCCTCGAACTCACAAGAGATCCACCTGCCTCTGCTTCCCGAGTGCTGGGATTAAAGGCATGCACCACCAACGCCTGGCTTGACTGTGAATCTTTTGGATATATGCCTAACAGTGGAATTGCTGGGTCTTGTGGTAGGCTTATTCCCATTTTTCTGAGGAATCTCCATACTGATTTCCAAAGTGGCTGTATGAGTTGGCACTCCCACCAGCAGTGGAGGAGTGTTCTCCTTTCACCACAACCTCTTCTGCTTAAATTGTTGGTGTTTTTGATTTTAGCCATTCTGACAGGAGCAAGATGGTATCTCAGAGTTGTTTTGATTTGCATTTCCCCGATGGCTAGGGATGTTGAGCACTTTCTCAAGTGTCTTTCAGCCATTTTAGCCTCCTCTATTGAAAATTCTCTATTTAGTTCTGCAGCCCCACTTTTTAATTGTATCCTTTGCTGTTTTGGAGACTTGCTTCTTGAGTTCTTTGTAAATTTTGGAGATCAGCCCTCTGTCAGATGTGGGGTTAGTGAATATCTTTTCCCATTCTGTGGGCTGCCTTTTTGTCTGATGCAAGATTATTTTAAGGGATGAGACAGGGCTTTAGATTAAAACAGTGTATGTTCATGATCCTTAATATAAGACAAGGCCGGGCAGTGGTGCCGCACGCCTTCAATCCCAGCACTCAGGAGGCAGAGGCAGGCGGATCTCTGTGAGTTCGAGGCCGAGCTGGACCAACAGCCTCCAAAACAATACAGAGAAACCCTGTCTCGTAAAAACCATATATATATATATGACAAACCTTGTTCTAGTTTCCTTTTCAGTTACTGTACTCTGACAACAAGCAATGTATGCGGGCTTATTTTAGTTTGTAATTCTGGGTTACAGTGCTTCTCTGTGGGAGCCATCACAGAGGCAGAGGATTGAGAGAGCTAGTCAGGAGCAGGGAGGAAAGAATGCATTCATACTTGCTTGCTCCAGTTCAGGACCCCCTGCCTAGGGATTACTGCTACCCACAGTGGCTGGGGTGGGTCTTCCCAGATCAGTTAATTTAAAACAGTCCTCCATAGCCATGGCCAGAGGCCAACCCAATGTAGAAAACTCTTGAGAGTCTCTTCCCTGGTGATTCTAAGCTGCATTGACAATTAAAATTAACCTCCACAAGCCTCATATACCTGGAAAAATAGCTTTTACTATTTGTGAAATACACTATTCCAATACAGTAATCAACTCATTCATTAGGAGTTACTGGGATTTCCTTAGCCCAAAGAGCTCTGAGTGTGGATCACATTAAGTGTATAATTAATACAATTACTAATTAATTACAGCAATTCATATTAATATAATTAATTCATAAAAAATACATTTCTTTTCACTCAGTAAAGCTGATTTGAGAGACAGCAGTTGATTTTATTTTTCTCTCATGAAAAAGAAAGTTCTGATAATTGGTTGGTTATAGTGCACATTAGATTAGGCACAGTAGGTGTTGGAACTTCTAGTGAAATGAAGAAGAGATACTGCATTCCTGTAGCGTCAGCTGGTGGGGAAGGCTGAGGAAGCAATGTATTTGAGCTCAGGCATTTGGGCTAGCCCAGGCAATACAGACAACTCTGTCTGAAAGAAAGGAAGGGAAAAAAAAGAAATTGAACGGGTGATGCTTTGAGGACTTGAGACTCAAGGTAATTTAAAATTCTTTCTGGGGAAAAACAGAGGCGATAATGAAATCTTTTCCTTTCAGAAGTCCCACAGCAGGCGACTGAAGCAGCCGGGTTGCTGGGGATGAGCAGGAATGCAGCAGATCCCTTTTCCCTCAGGAGGAACACTCCAGAGAATGAAGAGATTGCAGAGCTCTCTGAAGAGAAAGAATGTGTGGGTTGGGAATGGGAAGTGCCTGGAAGGAGCGATGATAGGGAAACTGCAGGCTCCTCCAGGGAGAGCGAGCATTCCCTTGGAAGAGTTGAGTCTGAAGTTCCAATGAGTATCACATACTTAAATGATGGGCAAAGATACGAGGAGCTGGACGATTCTCTGTACTTAGGAGAAGGGGAATATCAAGAGTCTGTTGGACACCCTGAAGATGTTGAAGATGTGGAGGAAGGGAACTTCAATGACCTGGAGTGCTTTGTATATGACAGTGAAGAGGACCGCGAGTATGGAGAAGCCATGGGGCTTTCTAATGAAGAAAGTAGTTACGAGGGTTCAGAGAGCGGCATTTCATTGGAAGAGGAAGAGAAAAGCACTGACGGTATGGAGACTGTATAATTAATTAGACAGCTTATCAATAGACTAAGAAGGAGCCAAGACATACTGGAGAGGGGGCATGATAGGGCTAATCAACTAATCAGAAATCTGGTGTTTCTCTAACATGGATTTTCTGGAGGCGGGTATTGAACAAAGGAGTTCCCAGGTTGGGGAAGTAGGAGATTGTGCAGCAGAAAGATTCTCCTAGATTTGAGGACCTCCTCTGCCTAGCCAAATCCATGAATACTCGCGCTCCTTGTTTCAAATGGCATAGTGAACCAGGCTTGGTGGCTCTTGCCTGTAATCCTAGCACTCGGCAACCTGGGGCAGAAGGATTACTGAAAAACTGAGCCCAGCCTAAGGCACATAGTGTAGTCAAGACTACACACTGAAAATCTGTCTCAAAACAAAACAACCCCCCCCAAAAACCAAAAACCCAAAAAATGAAAAAAAGAGGCTTGATACCTGTATACAACTTCTATACATCCTCTTACATGTTTCATTGTTTTTAAAATTACACTTTTAGTTTAGCTAATACATAGTAATATGCGTATTTATGAAGTACAGTATAACATTTCAATAAATATAAACAATGTGTAATAATCTGCTGAGGGTATTGGCATAGTTATTTCCCAGACATGTATAATTTCTTTGGGGCACTTTCAGAATCCTTTCCCCGGGTGTGGGGGTCCATGCAGATAATGCCCACCCTGGAGACTGGGAAAGGAAGACCAAGAGGCTGATGTCAGCTTGGGCTATTGAAGTCCTGTCTCAAAGCAGGCACAAACAAAGTAGCTCTCATACTGGCTGGTCTAGAGAAATTAATTGTTCTCAACCAAAGATGTCTTACTGTGATACAAAATATTAGAAGCTACTCTTCCTTTTCATGTGGATACCTAGCTTTTTAATCACATGTATGTATGTTTGTATGTATGTATGTATGCATGCATGTATGTGTGTGGAGGTTAGAGGATTTGTTTTCCTCTTCCACCATGTGAGTTACCAGGATCCAACTCAGGTCACCAGGCCAGCAGAAAGTACCTTTGCTTACAGAGCCATCTTGCTGGCCTTACAAGTTATTCTTTTTAAAAAAAATTTAATTAAAATTCACACGTGTGTGTGTGTGTGTGTGTATAAGTATTCTGTCTGCATGCCAGAAAAGGGCATCAGATCCCATTATAGACTGTTATGAGCCACCAAGTGGTTGCTGGGACTTGAACTCAGGACCTCTGGAAGCACAGCCAGTGCTTCTAACCATTGAGCCATCTCTCCAGCCCTAGAAGTTATTCCTAACTATTTGCAATCTAGTACCTACTAACTATCCCTCTATCTTTCTCTCCCTCCTTCAAGTTCTTGTGTGTTTTAAATCACTCCCAGAGTCCTCATACTAACAAACTCTATGTAAATAGTTATTTTTCAGGGAGTAATAATAGGAAAAAATTAGTCATCATCTTTAGAATAAACATAATATTTCCCCAAATATTTATGATCTGAATGTTATTGAATTACAGATTCAGGGTCTTGAATATGGTGTGTTGTCCATATGAGCAGAAGTTACCACTGATTATCAGTACATAGATTTCTCTAGTCACTTCCCAACATGCAGTAGGGGATACCTTATTTATTTTTTATGTGTGTTTTTAATTAACTTATTCACCAACACGGCCGGGAGGTGATGGCGCACGCCTTTAATCCCAGCACTTGGGAGGCAGAGGCAGGCGGATCTCTGTGAGTTCCAGGGCAGCCTGGTCTACAGAGTGAGTTCCAGGACAGGCTCCAAAGCTACACAGAAAAACCTTGTCTGGAAAAACAAACAAAAATCTTATTCACTGACAATCTCATATATGAATGTAAGATCATATATTCAGGTTACATTTACCACCCTCTTTTATTACCCACCCCAGCTCCCCGTGTACCCAACAAGTCTTCTGCCCACTATCCCGTCCTCTTGTTTTGTGACCGTTGAGTTGTCCAGGGCCACCGTGAGGGCCACTTCAGGCAGTTAAACACTGGAAAATGGGCAGCTCATCAACTGCTGATAGCTCCTCTCAGCCATCCATGACAAAGTCCATAGGCAGTTTTGTGCAGGCCCTGTTCAGGCAGCTGCTTCCCCTGTGAGTTCATGAAAGCAATGACCATTTCATGCCTGGAAGACAGCATTTTTAGGCCCTCTTCCCTATCTGTCCTTTTATCTATGATGTTTTCTGTGCATTGGAAGGGATCGGGCGGATGTTCCTTTAAGTGCTAAGCACTGGCTAGTGACTTATTCTTAACACCTTGGCTGGCTGTGAGACTCCGTATTAACTAGTTTGCTGCAGAAGGAGACTTGTTTGACCAGCGCTGATGGCAGTACTGTATGGGTGTACACATACATGAGAGGGCAGTTTGACAGTGTGTTCATTTAGTACGACAGAAGAAGTGTGTTCTCCCGTAGGACCTATGACCTCCCTAGCTACGAGCTTTTGAGCAGGCCCAGGCATAAGTACCTTCCTGTGTAGTGGGCTTTACATCCATGAGACAAAGTCTTGTGATGTCCAGGGTTAGCCTTGAAGTCACCGTGTATCTGAGGGTTACTTTGAGCTTCTGATCCTCCAGCTTCCACCTCTAAAGTTGAAGGATTACAGGCATGGTCCACCACACATGGTTTTATTTGGTGCTAGAGATGGAACCTGTATGCATGCCAGCCAAGCATCCTATTGCCTGATCTATATCTCCAGCCACTAGCTGCTGACTTTAGACATTACTTTCTGTTTTCAGATTAAAGCAGCTTTGAATTTTAGTGGCTTCATAACCAGAAAGAGGTTGGATTTTGCAACTTTTAGTTTTAACAATTGAAGTGGAAACCATCAGTAGAGGAACTCACAGTGCATAGTTGAGGTCTCAGGATATCTGGTTCTGGTCCGTATAGCACCATCTTGACACAAAGACATTTATGTGTGTAAACCTTCCTTTTTTGAGGACTAAAAGTATAGACTTGTTAAAAATGAAAGTCGAGTCAGTAAGATGACATGGATTGAATCAACTCTTAAGTGTTGTCCTTTGACTGTCACATGCATGCCATGGCATGTGCATTCTCTCTCTCTCTCTCTCTCTCTCTCTCTCTCTCTCTCTCTCTCTCTCTCTCTCTCTCTCTCTCACACACACACACAGACACACACACTGAAAGTACAAAAGCGTTTGATGTGGAAGTAAAAGCATAGAATAGACTTCATAGAACAGGCATGTGCTCTACCAAACATATAGCTCCAGAGCCTTTGCTTTGAGACATGGTCTTGTGTATCTCAGGCTGTTCTCAGACTTACTATGTAGCCAAGACTGACTTTAAACTTCAGATACTTCTGCTTCTCCCTCCCAAGTGCTGGGACTATAAGCATGTGCTATCACTCCTATTTTTTGTTTGTTTTCTTATTTGTTTTTCAGTGCCAGGGATTAAACACATGGCTTCATATCCTCTAGATGAGCGTTGTACCTACTATGCTATACCCTAAGACAAAGTCTTATTTATACCTTATGTAGGGCATGGTGCTATGTGTTTGTAAATCCTAGCATTTGGGAGGTAGAGGCAGGAGGATCAATGCCATTCTGGGCTACCTGAAACCCTGATCCACTCCTGTCCCAAGTTACTGGGAACAGCAAAACAAAATAGGTGAAACATCTTGTGCTATCTTGTCATCTGTCAATAGTAAAACCTGCGCTGTTTTTTCCTACAAGTACCGTTTCTAGTAACTAGAAAAATATTTGTAAAAATGGGATATTAGGGAAAAATAGAGACAGCATGTAATTTTTTTTAAAGCAGAGCAAAGATGAGGAAAATGCCCAAGAATATAAGGGGTTCCAAAGGAGGAATACCCAGTATGTAAATTCTGATACTGCTTAATTATATTTTATTTTGTGTGCATGTGTATGAGCATGTGTGTGAGCATGTGTACCATGGCATGCATGTAGAGGTCAGAGGACAGCTTGTGGGAGTTTGCTCTTACCTTCTACTTTGTGAGTTCAAGGGATGACACTCAGGTTGTCAAGTTTAATAACTATCTTTTATATGGTAAAAAGTTTGAGCTCACTTCTGGGTTTTGAAAACCCACCAGTCTCTGAGTTTGAAATCCCACCAATGCCTGCACTCACCCCAAGCTCAAGACTTGAAATTCTACCAATCCCCACTGTGTAAATCTCTACTTGGAGAACTCCATCCCCAAGGAACTCTATATAAGCCTGCCTCCCACTTAGTTCTTTTCGCAAAGTAGAGGCAGACTCCCCCTGTGACTTTCTCAGTTTTGTATGAGGTTTGTTGTGTGGGGTAACTTAGTGATGTTCCTTGGCTTCAGGTATCAGGATACTTTTCCCTTCAGAGTTACAACACTTCCACTGGGGAAACCTTTCTCACTTAGGGCTGCAACCCTTGTTTTTTTGTTTGTTTGTTTGTATTTTGAGACAAGGTTTCTCTGTATTGTTTCAGAGGCTGTCCTGGGACTCACCCTGTAGACTACATTGGCCTCGAACTCACAGAGATCCGCCTGCCTCTGCCTCCTGAGTGCTGGGATTAAAGGTGTGTGCCACCAATGCCTGGCTGGGCTGTAACTCTTGTATTAGGAAATTTTTTTCCTTCACAGCTGCAATATTTGATTTGGGGAAAATCTTTCTCCTCAGAGCTAATACTTACACTTTTGCCTCCATAAAATTTACTTGCAGACATATTTGTGGGGGGCATTTTCTTGATTGATAATTGATGTGGGAGGGCTCAGTCCACTGTGGGTAGTGCCACCCCGAGGCAGGTTCTTGAGTTGTTTAATAAAGCAGGCTGAACAAGCTGTGGAGAGCAAGGTTGTAAGGAGTTTTCCTCTATGGCCTTTGCTTCAGTTCCTGCCTTGAGTTCGTGTTTTGAAGTTCTTTTTACGACAGACTGTGATTGGGACATGAAAGCTGAAGTAATTCCTGTCCCCTCCCAGGTGCTTTTGGTCATTGTCTTTATTACAGCAACAGAAAACAGAGTAAGACACATACTATGCAAAGTTAGTATGTCTCTTAGAAGGAAAACAGGGCAGGAACGGTGGTGAAATGAGAATTTGATTTTGTATTGCTTCAACCTTTGGCAGTCAAATTGTCAGTGACATACTTTTAAGGGAAGACAAGACTCCAAACAAGGTGATAATGAATACTTTCTGTCTTACAGATAGGAAAAGAGTATTTCATCATATCCTGTCCTGTTTGAGCATGGATAGAAGCAGAAAGCTTCTCCCAGAGTTTGTGAAGCAGTTTTCCATAGACCGAGGAAGTGAGTGGACACCTTCAACCCCAGGAGACTTAGCCTGGAATTTCCTGATGAAAGTTCAGGCACTAGACCTGACAGCCAGAGATTTTATCCTTAGGCCCAAGATGGTGGATGAGGAGAGCAAAGGAGAATTGCTGGCTGGTATAGAGAATTTAGAAATTGGAGACAAACAAACCATCAACCCCCTTGATGTCCTTTGTGCCTCCATGCTTTGTTCAGACAGCTCTTTGCAACGTGAAGTCATGTCAAACATGTACCAATGCCAGTTTGCTCTGCCCCTGCTCTTGCCAGATGCAGAAAACAACAAAAGCATCTTAATGCTGGGGGCCATGAAAGACTTAAAGCTGTACCCAGCGCAGTCCTCAGGAGGGCCCCCCAGAGAAACAGAAACATTTCTGATTCCCATGAAGATGCCTGTCATCTCTTTTGTGCGACTAGGACGCTGTAGCTTCTCCAAATCCAGAATCCTTAACACATTGCTCAGCTCCTCCCAACAGAAGCCACACAAAATCTTTCTCCATCAGGATCCCTCTGTTCCTGTGCTTCCTCGGCAAATTTCTGGTGGCCTGGTGGAGGTAACGTGGTGTTTTCCTGACAACAAGAAGCTAAAGGAAAGTCGTCATGTTTTCCAAAAGCCTGTTGCTATGGCCAACCTGCGTGGAGATCTCGAAAGCTTTTGGACACAATTTGGTTTTCTGGTAGAAGTTTCCTCAGCCGTGTTTTTTTTCACTGACTGCCTTGGCGAGAAGGAATGGGACTTGCTGATGTTTTTAGGAGAAGATGCTATTGAAAGGTGCTACTTTGTCCTTGGTTCCTGGGCCAAGGAGCGTGAAGAGACCCAGATTTTCCAAAGGCTCCTGAGACTCAAGCCATCACAGCTACTGTTTTGGGAAGTAGAGGAAGCTGGGGATAGAAGGGAGAAGATGGAGGCCCTTCAAGCTGCCCTCCAGGAAGTAATGTCCTCTTCATTCAGATGTGTGTCCCTAGAAGATATGGCCTCTCTGGCCAGGGAGTTGGGGATCCAGGTAGACCAAGACTTTGAAATTACTCAAGATATTCAAGATCCCCCCAGAATGACTGACGGTGAGAACCAGCAAACACATAGTCAGACAAAAATCCCATCTGAAAGCCGAGCTCAGGTGCCAGTCACAGAGCCTGGGGCCCAACATGAGGACAGCCAGAGTGCTCAGAACCCGCACCAGACTCCAGTATTTGTGCCACATCCGGTCCACCCATGGCCCCTGCCTACCACACTTGGAAGTAACTTTTACCATGTTTCCTTGAAAGCCCCCTGGGTTCTGAACTCCCACTTTGGGTCACAGCAGAGAGCTAAGTGGTTCTATCTTTTTCCTCATCAGAATGCAAGGGTTCACAGAGGAGGAAAAAACTTTGGTAATCAGCATTTCCAACCCTGGAGATTTTATTCAGGGCAAAGATCCATGAAATTTTCAGGACCTTATCGGGGGTATCATTCGAGTGGAACATTTGGGAGATCACAAAGACAGACTTCTCTTGTACAGACCCGTCCTGAGAGCCTACAGGCAGAGAGAACCATTCAAAGGCCTGGAACAGTGGTCTCTCCTGTAGGTCACTCACATTCTCTCGGCTCAAAAGCAACAAAAGCAGCAGGAAACCCACAGCCTGTGAAAGCCTGTGCCCAGGGGATGCACCTGAGTGACGGAACTATAAAACCTACGAGGACAGCATCTCATACTAAGTACCCTCATTCTCCGTCCTGCCAGGCAGCAGGGGCCATTCAAGAAGGAAAAATACCCGTTCCTCATCAAGGATCTCAGCGGATGATAAAGGGAAGGCCTTCAGATCCAGCTTTCCAAGCAGGGTCTCAATCCATGTCTGGGAGTAAGCTTTCATCTGCCTCCCAGTTCTGCTCCCTTCAACCCAAGTTCCAGGTCAAACATGTCAAGCCTGAGCCCATTCAACCTTCTCAGAAAAAAAACCCTCATCCCCAGCCCTCCCAAGCTAAAGCCCCTCATCCCCAGCCCTCCCAAGCTAAAGCCCCTCATCCCCAGCCCTCCCAAGCTAAAGCCCCTCATCCCCAGCCCTCCCAAGCTAAACCCCCTCATCCCCAGCCCTCCCAAGCTAAACCCCCTCATCCCCAGCCCTCCCAAGCTAAAGCCCCTCATCCCCAGCCCTCCCAAGCTAAAGCCCCTCATCCCCAGCCCTCCCAAGCTAAAGCCCCTCATCCCCAGCCCTCCCAAGCTAAAGCCCCTCATCCCCAGCCCTCCCAAGCTAAAGCCTCCCCATCCAGATCTACTCAGTCCAAGCCTCATAGACCCCATCAGTCCCAATCTAAGCCTTTCCAACCTAGATCTACCCAACATACATCATCACAGACCAAGTCTTCGCAGGCCAAGACCTGCTACCCAAGAGCAGGGAGACGTTAACAAGCATACCCCAGAGAGCCAGGAAGTATGTCTTTTTTTCCGTCCTATTTTTTTATTTAAATTAGAAACAAGCTTGTTTTATATGTCAATCCCAGTTTCCTCTCCCTCCCCTCCTCCCTGGCTCCCCACCACCCCTATCCCATCCTTTTTCTGATGACCAGGGAGGGTGAGGCCTTCTATGGGGGATCTTCAAAGTCTGTCATATCATTTGGAGCAGGGCCTAGGCCCTCCTCCATATGTCTAGGCTGAGAGAGTATCTCTCTATGTGGAATGGGATCCCAAAGTCTATTCGTGTACTAGGGATAAATACTGATCCACTACCAAAGGCCCCATAGATTAACCAGACCTCCAGACTGACATCCTCGTTCAGGGGGCCTGGGCTGGTCCTATGCTGGTTTCTCAACTGTCAGTCTGGGGTCCATGAGCTCCCCCTTGTTCAGGTCAGTTGTTTCTGTGGGTTTCTCCAGCCTGGTCTTGACTCCGTTGCTCATCACTCCTCCCTTTCTGCAACTGGATTCCACTGAGTTTGGCTCAGTGTTTAGCTGTGGGTGTCTGCTTCTGCTTCCATCAGCTACTGGATGAAGGCTCTAGGATGGCATATAAGGTAGTCATCAATCTCATTATCTGAGAAAGGCATTTAAGGTAGCCTCTCCACTATTGCTTAGATTCTTAGTTGGTATCATCCTTATAGATCTCTGGACAAGTATCTAGTGCCAGATTTCTCTTTGCACCTATAATGGATCCCTCTATTGTGGTATCTCTTTTCTTGCTCTCATCTGTTCTTCCCCTGACTCAATCTTCCTGCTCCCGCCTGTCCTCCTCTCCCTCCCTCCATGGCTGGTGGGAGTGTAAACTGGTACAGCCACTTTGGAAATCAGTATGGTGGTCCTCAGGAAAGTGGGAATTAATCTACCACAAGATTCAGCAATTCCACTCTTAGGCATATACCCAAAGGATGCACATTAATACAACAAGGAGGTGTCTGTTCCACTATGTTCATAGCAGCATTGTTTGTAATAGCCAGAACCTGGAAGCAACCTCAACCGAAGACTGGATAAAGAAAATGTGATACATTTATTCGGTGGAGCACTACTCAGCAGAAAAAAACAATTGATTTTTGAAATTCTCAGGCAAATGGATGGAACTAGAAGAAACCATCCTGAGTGAGGTAATCTAGTCACAAAAGACAAACATGGTATGTACTCACTCATATATGAATTTTAGACATAGAGCAAAGGATTACCAGCCTACAATCCATACCGCCAGAGAAGCTAGGAAACAAGGAGGACCCTAAGAGAGACCTTAGGAAGTATGTCTTTTGCTTAGGTTATTCCTCTCTTAACAGTCTGAAGAAGAGTTTCAGTAAAGACTGATAAAATGAACAAAACAAATTATGCAAAGTCTCTGCATAGTGAGGAATCTAAATGTGGAAAATATGAAAGTAGCTAAGCGTAGGATCTGGTTGGACAGGGTGGCACACACCTGTAATCCCAGCACTCTTGAGGCAGAATCCGTCTGACTCTGTGCTTTTGAGGCCAACCCAATCTACATAATGACATGGAAAATTCTAGACCAGTCAGAGTACATAATGAGATCCTGTCTTAAAAAGAGAAAGAAAGAATAGGATCTAACATCAAGCCAACAAGATCAGTTAGAATTCCAGAAGGCATCATTAATTAATTAGACTTGGTGGGTTACTAAAAACAAAAAACCCAAAACTAAACAGGAAGGAGGGGGTGGTTGTCAGACCGAGTGGGAGGGGGCAAGAGCTTGGGATGGGTATGATCATTGTATACATGAAATTGTCAAATAAATGCAAGATGGAAAAAGAATGGGACCTGAGGATACATAAATGAATTGAATCCAACCTTCCTTATTAGGTAATGTGCGACTTGACCCCCGGGGATGGAGTCTGTGAGATGTCCATATGTGTGAAGAATGGAGTTACAGTGATTGCAAAGTGATGAAAATTTGGAGTTCAAAGTATTTCAGTGTTGAAGAAAACTGCTTCCAGGGTGCCTTGGTTGTGGGCTTATTACCAGCCACTGAGCAGAGACCCTGAACTATTGGACCAGTTAAAGCAACTTGCTTGTGGTTATGGCCCCAATTTTCATATCTGAGAAGACTGTCTCACTTGGCCTGTACACATGGAAATAATGAATGCTCAAAGAAACATCATCTTACATAAACTTTGGGTCTGATTTTTGTGTGTTTCATACTTTGTATACAATAACTAAGAAAATTTACCTCACTAGAGGTTCTAATATTATATTGTTAGTTTAGTTATTTGAAATCGGAAATGTGTTAGTGAGTTTTTAATTTTAGAGTTAAGTTGAAGAGATTAAGATGAATTTACAAAAGGTATAAGTAATGTTTGAGAGAACTTATGGCTTAGAGGAATTATAATTTTCATAAATTCATATTGTCCTGAACATTTGGATAACTTCTGCTAGCTAGCAGCATTAAATAAAAAGAATAAAGTTGGTCTAGATATTTAGCTGGAGCTTCTCTAAGTTTGTAAGTGACATCAAATATGACTAAAAGGCTACATTAGCTGAATATGCTCGTACACACCTGTGACCTTAACAATTAAGAGACTGAGTAAGGGGATCAAGGTTCAAGCCAGCAGCACACAGTGAGACCAAGTCTCAAAAAACAAAAACAAGTCCCCTTAAGGTAGATGTTAAAATTTGCCTCACTTAGAAATAAGGTAAGATTCATAAATTGGATTAATCGCTCGAGTTGTTGAATTTATGACTGTTTATTCTTTAAATGTTAAACAGTAATTTTATTTATTATTGTATCTGTGTATAGTGTTTGTGTGTGTGTATGTGAATGGGCGTGCACATGCATGTCATACACGTGTGCAGAGATCAGTGGACAACTTTATGGAGTTCATTCTTTCCTTCCACCTTTATGTGATGGAAGTGCTTGTACCCACTGAGCTATCTCACTTGTTCCTATATACTTAATTTTAAATAGTAAAATAGGAGCTACCTAGGTCAAAAATTGCTTTCAATAAACTTTTGAAAGGAATCAGTAGTGTCTGAAAAAATAGTCTAATATCACAAAAGTGTGTTTGTACATGTTACATAATAAAATTTCTAATGGTCATTATAAAGATGAAAAAGAAATAGAGGATAGTATATGTGAATGTTTAATTTTACTTGTGAATTCTTTTAGAATGATAAATGTAAAAAAATAAAACACATTTTCAAAACAAAAGTGCCTTAAGCCAGCATGCACCAACCTACAGATAAACAGGAAGTCTGTGCCCTGCCAGTGCTTGCTAGTCTAGCTACCCTCGCTCAAACTCAGAAGTTTAGAGAAGAAAATGACTAAGAGTCAAGCTTGCCTGATGACTTTCGGACATAAAGTTCATGGTCCTGAAAGGCCTTAGATTCCCCCCCCCCCCCCCCCAGGAGGGTCTCACCCTCCCTGGGGAATGATATGGGGATTGGGTAGGGGGGCTGGGGGGGCTGGTGGAGGAACAAGGGAGGAGGGGTGGGAGAGGGAGCTGGGATTGACATGTGAAATATTCACGTTTGTAATTTAAATGAAAACATATATTGAGAAAAAAACAGGCAGGGTATAAAATATGTAAATTAACCCATATACACATGGGCTGAGAAATAGACGAATGTCAGCGGTGGGTGACCCGTGAGCTCATACATACCCCTGATTCTCAGCCAAAGCAGTGAAGAAGGGACCATCATTCAGGGCTATGAAAACTCTTCTCTGTGCTCAGTTTGTCTGGGTTGCCACTAGACCGTGCAAGATTGTACAGTAAACTGTGACTTTTATTACTCTGAGTCTCCAGTGCTTCTTCATTACGAAGTGAGGATCCTCATTCTCATGATAAAAACCCTGAAGATCACCTGCTGGGCATAGTGGTACACACATGTGCTCTCATGTGTACACATGTGGGAAGCCAAGGCAGGGAAACTGGAGTTCTAGTGCCTCGGTTTGGGTTTCCAGTGCTGATTTCAAAACACCAAGATAAAACACCAAGACCATAAGGAACTTGGGGAGGAAAGGGTTACTTCACTTCCACAGCACAGTTTATCACTGAAGGAAGTCAGGGTGGGACCTGATGCAGAGGCCTTGGAGAGATACTGCTCACTGGCTTGCTCCTCATGGCTTCTTCAGCCTGCTTTTTTATAGCTTGCAGGACCACTAACCCAGGGTGGCACTGCACACGGTGCTGGGCCCTCCCATACCAATTGTCAAGCAAGGAAATGCACCACAGGCTTGTGCACTGGCCCATCTGGTGACCATTGTCTCAACTGAGATTCCCTCTGGTTATGGGGTAAAGACCCAAAGACCACTTAACACAACCAAAGGACTGATCTGCTTCCACCTTCCTGAGGAAAAGCATGAAACATTTGTATAGGGGAGGCCCAGATGCCTATTACAGGAAGTTTTCAAGACAAAGAACACAGAAAAACCACATCCCACTTGGCAGTTGCAGGGGGAAGCAAGGAAGCAGTTTATAAGAGCCAAGAATATGCAGCTAGCTGGGGGCGTTTTGACCCCAAGTTTCTAGTGCAGGATTGGTTGCTTTCCCTCAAGACTTTCAAGGGCAAGGGGTAGAAACCAAAGATTGCTTAAACTGAGACAAAACGAAGAAACTTTTGCCCTGTTACGTTCTTCCCAAATGACCCTGACTTGTGTCAACTTGACCTTAAATAAGACAGGCTACTTAGTGAGACACTGTCTGCATAAATAAACAAACAGTTAATGACTAGAAAACTTTGGTGTTGGACTGAGGACATGGCTCGGTCAGGAAAGTGCTTGCCATGTAAACAGCTGGATACAGTGGTGCACATTCGTAACCCCAGCACTGGGTCAGCAGGGTAGAGGGCAGACAGAGGGGATCCCTGGAGCTTGCTACTCTACCTGAATTAGTGAGCTTCAGAGTCAGTTAGAGACCCTGTCTCAAAAAATAATGTGGAGAGCAATCAGGGAAAGACTCGACCTCAACCTCCTATCACACACACCTAAATAAATAAATATTAGCTGTAAAAGTAGAATTCCTCATCTGAATATGCTTTTTAAAAAAAAACCTTTGAAATGAATGATAGTGATTATTGTTAGAATCTTCTCTGAATCCTTCCTCAGGATTAGAAAATGTTGGACAAAAACGGGGCTTGGGGGTGCATACCCTTAATCACAAAGATGGAGGTTAGGCGGAACACAGAGGTGAGCAATTGGGCATAAAGGGGACAAAGGCAGCTCCAGATAGCTTGGATCCAGTCCTTCTCATTCTAACCCTCCACACAGCCACAGAAGTTCTAGTCAAGTCAGTCGGTCTTTAGAATCTTCATCATAGGTCTGCCTCCCACCCCCAGCCTCAGTTTATCCTCCTGTGTCCTCTCAGGTTCAAAGTGGTTTAAGTCATACCAAACACAGAAGGGTATGGTGCTGGAATCTGAGAAAAGGAGAGTGAGAGGCAAGAAGATGGACATAGTGAGTTTGCGGCTAGCCTGGACTGCACAGCGAGAGACTGCATCACAAATAAATAGGCAAGCAAAGCAAAGCAAAAACAAAGCAACATCCTGAGAGAGAGAGAGAGAGAGAGAGAGAGAGAGAGAGAGAGAGAGAGAGAGAGAGAGAGAGAGAGAGAGAGAGAGAGAGAATATATCTATTTGATTTTCCTAAGAATTTTTTTCCCCTCCAAAGAGCTAAAATTTTGGAACACATCATTATACTGCCATCTTCTGGATAATTCCAATGCTTACACATAAAAGTCAACTTAGAGTTTCAAAACTTGGCCCTTGTAAATAACTCTTCTTTGGGGCTGAAATGTATCCCCTCTAACTCCTCCTGGATATCTCCCACTTCTTCCTCCCAACTTCATGTCCTTTAAAACTAGATTATAATTTTTTTTATAACTCAGAGTCTGATTAGTGCTGCCTATCTGTATAGACGTGGGACCATCCAATAGAGCACCATCAGCCTACTGAGACCACGGCCCTAAAGAAAACTGATTCTCCCTCCCACAGTGGCCATCAGCTGTCTAGATAGACGGGGGGCTCTGAAATTAAGACTCTTGATGGTTTGCCTAATACCTGTTTTTAATGATTTTGGTCATAAATTTTCCTATACACTGTGCGATGACATTTCACTGAAGGTGAGTTTTGGGTGGTAATTGTGTCATCTAATAATTTTACAAGTTCTCTTTTTTCCAGTTATTGTTGGGGAACTGTCAGTCACCATACCAGGTGTGCTAACGGTGGACTCCAAAACTGCTTTAACATGTTTTATTGCATTGTATAAATCTCTTGGTTTAGTTGTGTCTTTAAAAAAATTATTTTACACGTATTGGTGTTTTTGCCTCTGTGTGAGTCTGTTTGAGGGTGTCAGATCCTGTGGAACTGGAGTCACAGAGAGTTGTGAACTGCCACATGGGTTCTAGGAATCGAACCTAGTTCTCTGGGAGAGCAGCCAGCACTCTTAACCACTGAGCCATCTTGCCAGCCCTCTCTTGAGTGATATTACATTTGTTATCAATGCTGTCAGTAGAAATGGCAGGTTACACCATATTCATTACATCAGTCTATCATCAGAGTATAAAATTTAAAATCAGCAGCTTCTCTTCACACTTCCCTTGATTAATTGTCCTGTTTCCTCAATTCATCTGGCTACAGACCAGTAAGACAGAGTTTTGATGTGTTGCCCTCCTCTTCCTTCCTTCCTTCCTTCCTTCCTTCCTTCCTTCCTTCCTTCCTTCCTCCCTCCCTCCCTCTCTTTCTTTCTTATTTTTACTTAAATTAGAACAAGCTTCTTCACATGTCAATTCCAGCTCCCTCTCCCTCCCCTCCATCCCCTTCCCCTAGTAACTCCCCTAATGTTCCACCCCATACCCCTTCCCCTCCTCAGGGAGGATGAGGCTCTTCATGGGGGAATCTCCAAAGTTTGTCATATCATACAGGGCAGGATGTGTTCAGGCTGAGAGAGCATCTCTCCATGTGGAACGGGCTCCCCAAGTCCATTCTTATGCCAGGGATAAATACTGATCTACTTCCTGAGGCCCCATAGATTGCGGAGGCCTCCTCACTGACACCCACGATCAGGTCAGCTCTCTCTGTGTCTTTCACCAGCCTGGTTTTGACCCCTTTGCTCATACTCCTCCCTCTCTGCAGCTGGGTTTCAGGAGTTCAGTTCAGTGTTTAGCTGTGGGTGTCTGTCTCAGTTTCCATCAGCCACTGGATGAAGGTTCTCTTTCAGTTTTTCTAATTTTGATATGATCCTTATGACACTATCCTTGGTTTGTGTGGAATTTGATAGCCCAAATTCCCTACCAATTGAGCACAATGTCTTTTTTTAAATTTAAATTTAAATTTTTAAATTTAAAATTAAATTAGAAACAAGGTTGCTTCACATGTCAATTTGAGGTCCTTCTCTCTTTCCCTCCCCTCCTCCCACACCCTCCCACCAACCCCTCAAATATCCCCTCATTTCCCCAGGGAGGGTTAGGCACTCCGTGGGGGTGTCCATAGTCAGTCATTTCATCCAGGGAAGGGCCTAGACCCTCCCCAAAGAGTCCAGGGTGAGAGTGCATCTCTTATTGTTGGATGGGTTCGCAAAGTCCATTTGTATATCCCTGATGAATACTGATCTATTACCCAAGGCTCAATAGATTACCTAGGCCTCCTCACTGACACCCACATTCAGGGGGTCTTGATCAGTCGCATGCTGGATTTCCAGCCATCAGTCTGGGATTCAAGAGCTAACCCTTGTCAGGTCAGCTGTTTCTGGGGGTTAAACCAGCCAAGTCTTAACCCCTTTGCTCATCAATCCTCCCTCTCTGTCACTGGATTCCTGGAGTTCAGCTCAGTGTTTAGCTGTGGGAGTCTGCCTCTGCTTCCATCAGCCACTGAATGAAGGTTCTGTTTCCCAGACTCTCTGGCCATGGGATTGTAGGCTGGCACTCCCCAGATCTATGTCTAATATCCATCTATGAGAGAGTACATGCCATGTTTCTCTTTTTGTGACTGGGTTACCTCACTCAGGATGGTTTCTTCTAGTGCCATCCATTTGCCTGAAAATTTCAGGATTCCATTGGTTTTTTTTCTGCTGAATACTACTCCATTGTATAAATGTACCACATTTTCTCTGTCCAAGTTCTGGCTTCCAAGTTCTGGCTATTACAAATCATGCTGCTATGAACATAGTGGAACAGATGTCCTTGTTGGATTAATGTGAATCTTTTCCATATATGC